CTCAGAAAGGTAATTATATATAATCTTGACCAGGAATGGATCAATACCTAAATCAATCATCTTATAAATAATTCCTTTGTGCCAAACAGAATCAAACGCCTTCTCGATATCTAAGGATATGGCTACAGTACAAATTTGATTCCTCAAGTTTGTCGTGATGTCGCTATGAAACTTGAGAAGCGCGTGCTGTGTTGAATGATGTTGTTGGAAGCCAAATTGGAAATCAGATATAGGATTGATGATGAATTCTTTCTCTATTTTCTCTTTTAGGACATGTTCAAAAATTTTGCCCAAATTTGAGAGAAGTGAAATTGGACGAAAATCAACGACGGATTCGCTATTGGGTTTTTTCTTAATTGGAATTATTTTTGCTATCTTCCACATAGTAGGAAAATATCCATTGTTGATTGAATTATTAAAGATGTTTGTTAAAACGTTTATGGCAGCATCCGGAAACTTGCGTAATGTATAATTAGAGACGTTATCAACGCCTGATGATTTTTTAGTGTTAATTTTCAGGATAATTGATTTAATTTTTTCAGCATTCGTGAAGTGATAGTCATCTCGATTACTAATGGACGTGAATTGGTTACTAAAGGAGTAGATGCGAGGAGGCAATGATGAAGAGAATGATGCAATTCGTGAATCAACATCATCGACAGGAGAGTTTGGAATCGATTCTCGGAAAACGGACGAATAATACTGATGGAAGTGATTAGCTATTTCGGACGAATTAGTAACTCTGTTATTATCAACGACAATATGTTGACAGAATGGTGATTTTTTCCTGCCGCTGAAACGATAAATTTCCTTAAAAGCGGACGGACCAGGCTTGATATTTTGCAGACGGGAATTGAACAGCTTTGCTTGTTCGAGCTGGATAGACTCTTTTATAATGATTTTTAACAGACTTATTTGTTTAGAGAGAATTTTATACTCACGACTGATCCGATTTCCAGTTCGATGAAAGATTTTTTTAAGTTCTTTTTGCCATTGATATTTAATTCTGTATAATATTTTTGATCTTTCAGAAAGGGGAAACTTTCCATCGCTGACCGCTATTTTCTGAGAGTGTGCATCATGGACAGTATTGTAACATCTGTTAAAATCCTGGATAACAGCATCAATTTCCTGATTTGACAAATTTTGATCTGAAGGTGGCATGAAATCCGATATAGCAGTTTCAAAATCGGCCCGAAAATTATCCCAGTTCGTATCTTTATATGAGATGAAGGTTTTTGGTGTATTTAATAAAATCTCTGAACATTTCAGTTTCAGTTCTAACTTCAATGGAAAATGATCCGAAAATGTTGGCAGTGAGGAGATGCTGAAGTTTGTCGAATTACTGTCCACTAAACCTGTGCTTATTAAGAAGTGATCTAAAAATGATGGACCATTTGGGTAAGATGGAGATGCATCACAAATGCGTTTAACGTCCAGGATATTTGTTTGCAGCCAAGCCTTCAAGGTTTTTCCATTTGTATTTTCCACAGGATCACCCCAGGAAGGACTTCTTGAGTTTAAATCTCCACCGAGAATAAATCCATCGAAGTTAGAGCATAGATGCAGAATTTTTCCCAAATCTGACTCTAATTGTGATGATGGATAATTGCATGGGATATATACTGAACCCAGAACATACTTTTTCTGCATTCCGTTGTGCATTGTGTCCAGCCTTACGAGGGATGTATTAATGCCCACATCATTTAAAACAATTTTGGTATACTGTATAGACTTCCTTATGAAAATAGCAACACCAATTGTAGACTCATCATAGATGGCATTGTACCCGTCGATCCTTATTCTCTGATTTCTCCTCAGATGACATTCTTGTATGAATCCAACATCAATGTTATTGTAAATAAGAGTTTTATGTAGATCAATTTGCCTGCTTTTATCATTAAGAGATCTAACATTGAACGTTAATAAATTTATGACTCTATGGTCCATATTGTTCACGTACTTTATTTAGAATTCTTAAGAATTCAGCTTTGGCTTTGGATTTTTCCATTTCTTTGAAGTTATTGATAAACAGTGAGATTTCTTCTTCCAGTGTCATTTCCTCCGGTTCCAAAAAGTAATTGGCAAGTTTTAGAAAATCATCAACAATGGATGGCTTTTGTTGATTGTTTTGTTTAAATAGGCTGGCAAATGATTTGTGTGGAGTTACGGTGGAAAAGTTTACTGCGTTACTAACGTTTTTCAATGCAATGTTTTTATCCTCACGATTTATTTCAATATTTTTTTGTTTACCAGCATGATATTTCTTAAATGAAGGACATCCCTTCCAGTTTGCTGGGTGCCCAAATGTTTTGCAGTTTACGCAATATGGCTCTGAGGAATCCGTGCGCGATCTTTGGCATTCTCCTGGTCCGTGAACTTTGTCACACTTCATGCAATTATATTTTGCATTACAGTTGCGTGCAATATGTCCCCACCTTTGACATCTGTGACATTGAATGTCACCAGTTTTATTTTTTGGTTTTTCCCAGCATATATCTTGAAGAAACAACGATTTTACATGGGAGACATCGCCAATATTTTTGCCAGGTGTTAATGACACTAAGAATAATCCTGTGTCTATGCCATTCTTAGTAGAATTTGGCGTTGAAAATTTGGTTACCGAAGCCACTGTATTGGGAACCACAATGTCTAATTCGGTCTTGACTTCAATGGGATCGTTATACGAATATAGCCCTCTTAAGACCAAACCAACCTGTTTCATTTCCTTTGGAGTGAAAGAGTAAGAGTGAATCTCTTTGGCTCTCAAGATCGCCATCATCGAAGAGTGGACTTGTGGATCAGCAAAATAAAGTTTGCTTTTATTTTTATTTATATTTTTGATTTTAAATTCAGAATCCTTGATAGTGTTTTTCAAAGATTCTACAAGGGCTTTGATGTTTACGTTAAAAACAAAAATGGGTGGACACCATTTTGTTTTATTGGTCGGTGTATTCTTAATTTTGTTACTAGTTCCTTGAGTTTCTTTTGCCACTGGAGGACACTGAATGTCAACATCTGATAATACACTTAGTATTCCAAATTTGTTTTGGTCATTTGGATCGTGATTTTCCAACTTCTCCCGAAGCTCTGAAATATCAATGTTCATCGATTGATTTGATTTTTCGATTCGCATTCTTTTACGATCGTTTGTTTGTGTAGTTGCTTTTGATGTAGAAGCAACAAGTACTTTGCTATTGGAAGTTGATGCCACCTCTTCTGCCACATCAAAATCCATATCGGGTAAGGTATCAGGCATCATTATTCACAGAAATGCAAATATGACGCCTGAATAAATAATATTTCCAATACTGTGGGTTTGTTTTTTGATAAATTTTTTGCCGGTCAGAAAAATACGTCTAACTAGTTTCAGAGTTGCCGCAGAAGATCAAAATATGCAAAAATATGCACGGTATGCTAGGTCGATATGCGATAAATATATGCAAAAAATATACAAAATATGCATTGTCGATATGCAAAATATGCAAACATATGCAATATATGCAAAAATATGCAAAACATCCAAAAATATGCAAAATATGCAAAAATATGCAAACATATGCAATATATGCAAAAATATGCAACATATGCAAAATATGCAAAACATGCAAAAATATGCAAAATATGCAAACATATGCAAAAATATGCAAAAATTACCAAAAATATGCAACATATGCAAAATATGCAAAATGTGCAAAAATATGCAAAATATATGCAAAAATATGCAAAAATATGCAAAAATAAGCAAAAATATGCAAAATATGCAAAAATAAAAATATGCTAGGTCGATATGCAATAAATATGCAAAATAATTGCATTAAATATGCAAAATATTTAAAATATACAAAAATATAAAAAATATGCAAATTATGCACGGTATGCTAGGTCGCAATATTAAAGATAGAACTTTGAAATTGTGCACATATATTATTATTACTCCTAGGATGTTTGGTATTGGAAATGGGATATATCGGTCCACGTTTTAGTATATCGCCATATAACGGTTATATATGTTTGCATGTTTTATACATATATTTAGCAAATTTTTCATAATGCCCCAAAAATCTAACAGTTGAACCATACAAAATTAGATTTCTATAGGTTAAAAATAAAGAAATAAAGAATCTTTTTTTTTATTAAAATGATTACATATGTGAAATATGTTGCTCATATTTGCACATATTTTTGCCTATATTTTGCATATTTTATGCATATATTTTGCATATTTATTGCATATCGACCTAGCATATTTTGCATATTTTTTGCATATTTTGCATATCTCGTGCATATGCAATATATGCAAAAAATTAAAAAATGTGAACCCTTCAAATAATTCTAAATCCTTTGAAACGAATTTGTGTCCAATCAGAATTTCGATATCTTCATTATTAAAAAATATGCAAATATGCTAAATCCGAGGTCTACCTGTAATCCGACGGGGCGTACAGAAAAATTCAACTTCCTCACTATGGCAAAATGTTGTGTACGGCCGTGTTACCCAAATATGTCGAATCCATATCTTCAAGCGCATAATACAAATCGCAAAATAAAATTGAAAATTTATTAAATTAATTTAAATATTTTAAGTTTCCATTCGAAATTTCGTATTTCCTCAATGTTTTATTTTTATTTCCAACAAAAGAAGAAATGAAAAATACGTTCTGTCAAAGTTGAAATTGTTCAACTTGAAATTTTGTACGTTTGACGTATTTCGGTAACATTCATATAAACACATGTATTCTATTTTTGTGGTGAATTTTAGGTAATATTCAAAATACGGGTTGTAAATTTCACAACATTTGTATATTCATTCCATTCAGCAAAATAAAATCGGTGAAGACCATGTAAGTTTCATTTTAATAATTTAATCACATAAACATTAAAAATATATAACTATATTATACGTTATTTTGGAGTGTTCCGCTTTGAGAACATTATGCAAAGTTTTCAGTGTTTTTTACTTTACTTATTTTTTGTCTACTTATGGCTTCTTCGTAGTTACTTATTTCCTTTTTTTACATTTGTTTCGTCCTTTTCTTCGACGTCCTGGTGTTTTTGGTGATTTACCATTTTTTTGTTGTGACACACTATTGGCACTCGTTTGTTTGCTAATGCGGTTAACGGCGCTTTGTCCACCAATTTTCTTAGACGGAAGCAAATGCTGACTTACTAATTCACCCAAAACACCCTGATGAGCCAACATTGATAAAAATGCGCAAATAAATTCATCATAATTATGTGTGCGGCGGCAATCATCGACCTGAAATAAAATAAAATGCATTCAGAAATTTCAAAAACATAATATAATTTTTTAATTCAATTCTCAGTTTGTAGGCGAGAGAGATGAAGGTTCCCTCAACTCTCTTACCAACAATCTATAGAACTGAGGCAATTGAAATTGCCTAATGTAAATCAGGACTTACAAACCCTCAAGGAAATGACTTGATGTGCCTTACCTTGAACATATAACGGCGATCGTTTTCGTCATTTAGGTGTTGTTCATTTATTGCTATTTCCGAATCGAGATTTTTTAAAAGTGATTGTAAATCTCTAACTGTGAAGGCATTCGAGGCATCCAAAAGCGGTGACGGAGAAACACTTCTTGGTTGTGATTGCTGTTGTGAAGTAGATTGTTCCCCGTTTTCTTCAGTCCTTGAAGTTGTTCCATCCGATGTTGCCTCATTTGCTTTAAGTAGTTTTTGAAGGGTTCCGGAAACTATGGCCTGGTTGGTGCGTAACATTTTCAATTTGTGTGTTATAGCAATTCGCCTGTCGGGTACAACAGCCATTAAATTGAAGCGAATGTCCTGCTCACCAGTGGCAATGCCTAAACGTTCTGCCATGACACGTCTGAATTTATCTGTCCAATCTTCACATTCTTCCCAACCTCCATGATCCATTGGATAAGGTTTCAAGCCATCCAATTCGAAAAGGTGTCCATTAATAGGCACAAAACTTACAAAATGGAAAGCCTCGCCGGTAAATCGACCCGTCGACACGCCAGAACCGGCATTACGCTCCAGTAACCGTTTTGCTTGTGGCATGGCATGTGAGTTGTGAGCGCAAGCCAACTCAGGTGTGTTTCCAATGGCCCAACCTTTATTTTCCGGTGACATGCCCTTTGTATGGCTCTTCAATCTTCCCAGCGTCTCTCCAAGATGTATATCGGATTCGTCACAGTTTAACAATACCGAAAGTAGAGCATGGGTTGCACAGCTGTTTGGTACAACCTGCTGGGCAAAAAATATATTTGCAACTGCCTCGTCATCCTTGACAAATATTTCTGCTGTTGTCTCCACTATTTTGCGACGGGCCCTCCTTTCTTCAATCCATCGGAAAAGGAAGATAAAACCATACACTGGACCTTCGATTGGCTTTTGCAAATCATATACTTCCTCCACCTGAACTCCTTGTACACCAAAATCTTCAAGTAATAATGTAAACAGTCCGGGGTCGGATTCCAATTCCAACCAGCCTTCAGTCAGCCGATTAATGTCTACCGGCATTTTAGAAGACATGTTCTTGTGTGTGTTTTTGTTAAATTTATGAAATTTTTTCTTTTGTTCTGTTTTTATTTATTTATTTTTTTTGTATATAAACAAATTACAATTCTAAACAAATTAGTTCAACGAGGCGCTTCTCCGAAATAATCTACTGGAACTATTTCTAGCATAGGTATTAATCGACCTTCGATGAATCGATTTTTTGTACTGTAAAGTTATACGGCTAGTACACACCATGTGTTTTGAATGACAGTATAGAATTTAAAAGAGTACACACTATCAGTTTTGAATAATAGTGCACAAGTAAATTTAAGTCTACGATGTGGCACCATCTACAAAAATAAGAAGAAATAATGACGAACGAGATGTGTATTGAATATGAACTAAAGATCTAGATTAGCTCCAATAGTTTTTTTATCTAGGTAGTTGCAATCATGGAAACTGTTTTTTTATTATGGCTTGCTAAGTCAAATTCGAGTACTGAATGTGTGTTTTGTTTTGAAGAAAAAATTTAAAATTTTACTGAGAATCACTTTTTTTGTCAAAATGTAGGGGAGAGGGGGGCACCTTTGAACAGCGCTCTTACAATCTCGGTTTAAAAATTTTCAGACCCGCAACCACATTTTTTATATGGCAATCTTGTTCTCTATCTGCGTAAACCACTTTGGCTAGCTTTTTCAGTTGTCAACAAATTGTGCATGGGTGACCATGTTTTCGCAGTGCAATTGTAAACTTTTAATCTTTTGGTTGTAAGGGCGCAGGAAGAAATCGGTGATCGTTTTCTTTTGATAAACAATTTTTTTCTTTCATATGTATTTTCTACAAAAAAAAAATTATTATAAATTTCGGTAAAATGCCACAGGTGGGGCACCTTTGAATATTTCCAATAAACTCCAGTAAAAAACGGAGTTTTTAACTTTTTGCTTCAATTTCTCAAAATTTCAGTCAGATTTCATAGGCCACCAATATGTATGTCAATATTTTATACTCGAAATAATCCAGTTCGTCCAAATTCCATTACATCATCATGTGTCAATTTAAAAGTCAACAAATTCAACCAAAATTTATGTAACCTATTTTTTTACTGCAACCCATGGTACAATTATAAAAGGTAACAGCAAATGCCAGCTGATTTGATTCCAACGTAATACTAGTGTCAATATGAATTTGGCAAATTATATTTTTAAAAAACACCCAATAGGAAAATTGGGAACGCATACAATTTGAAATTGTCCTTTATTAAATATGCTCCCGTATTCAATTTACACAATCTGCCTGCTGGGAAAGTTTGAGGAAGCAAATCTTTCTTCATTGAATAACTCGCAATTCCCTGCATTTTTATATGTGTTACACATATAGGTGGCAATAGTTCAATTATAGGAAAGATGTGGAAGCGATAGAAATAAAAATTTGATAGATTTTTATTCATGTTTTTCAATTTTTTTTTTTTTTTTTGAGAATTCGAAAATATTTCATTTTCAAAATAAATATAATTTATTTGTTTGTTTACATTTTTCTGTCAAATGACGTTGACACTAGTATATCTTACAAAAACAAATTTCCATGTGGTTGTTGTATCGTTTGTTGTACAACAACACTTGCTGTTCCCTTCTATTATTATACCATGACTGCAACCTTTATTATTTAATGCTAAAATTTATTTTTCTGTTCAATAATGTTTAAGTGTAATTACCTGTGTCGACATACATATATTTAGAACATATATCATACATCTATGTGGACTATATATGTATAGTCCACATAGATGTATGATAATATAAGGATATATTACATACTAATTATTCAATATATTGTTACAAATATAACTTTAGATTTAAGTTAATTTAGACGAATTCCGTTAATTTAAGAATTTGAATTGTAACGTAAATTTCTACTACGCAGCTTATATGAATAACTTCACAACAACAACTACTGTATAGATTTTTCTACATCCTTCCATTTCCTCTTTCATTTTCTATTTTTGTTATTGTCGTACAATTCTTGTTAAACGTCATTCCTCTTTCTTTGTTATTCCCTCGCCTGTATATGTGTTGTTGTTATTCCTCTTTCTTCCCTCGCCTGTATATGTGTTGTTGTTATTGTTTACTCAATGTAAGTTTGTATGTGTGTTTGTTGCATTGGAAGATTGTTCGTGATCTAGGTGTTACCAGATCGTCTAGAAACTTCTATAGCGACAAGCAAGGCTCATATAAATAGGGGGAATGGAAAGGCAGTGAGTCAGTTGTGAATCAGATCGCGAATTGAAACCGTCGAGTAAAGTAAAGTGCAAAGTAAAGTTGTGTGAATAAAATCATTGTAATAATCGTAATCAGAACGAACCCGCGTTTTATTTGGTACGAACGGTATCGGGAAATAAAACAACGTCTACACGGGAATAAGTAAAGTTCAAGAACGTAACAATTGGTGTCGGAAGTGAGATTACGATAATACTACGATGAAGTTTAAGGATCTACGAGTGGAAGACTTGAAGAAGGAGCTCAATAAATTGGAATTGTCCTCTACTGGCAACAAGGCTGGACTACAAAAACGTCTGTTGGATGAGTTCGAGCGCCGTGGTATGGACATCGATACATATGAATTTGACAGTAAGGATGAGGGGGATTTATCGGAAATGCGCGAATCCAACGGTGGGGAAGTCTCGTCAGTAGCTGCCAGGGGTGACGATTTCAGAGAAATGCTGGCCAAAATGTTTGAGGAAAATTTCAGAAGGTTCGAAGAGAATTCCAGAAAGTCAGAAGAAAACTCGAGACGAATGTTCGAAGAGAATTCCAGAAAGTTAGAAGAAAACTCGAGACGAATGTTCGAAGAGAATTCCAGAAAGTTAGATGAAAATTCGAGAATAATGAACGAGAAACTCGAGAACATTACAGAAGTTATTGGAAGGAGAGTGGAAACCGTGGAGGTCCAAATTAAAGAGTTGGATAAGAAAGTGCAGTCGGTTGACGAGAAGATTCTGTCTGTGGATGAGAAATTTCTGGTCCACGACCACAGGTTTACGAATCTGGAGAAGAAAATGTCGGAACTGGAAATTAAAGGTGGTCCGGTGCGAGTTCCTGATAACACACTAAAAATCAAACCTCCTGTATTCGACGGCTCTACGTCATTCAATGTTTTCAAGTTACAGTTCGAGACAGTGGCTTCTAGAAATTCGTGGAACGACAGCGACAAAGCGGTTGCACTACTTCTGGCATTGAAGGGCAGTGCTGCGGATGTTATACAGAGTATTCCTGTCGCTTCTAGAAGCAACTATGAAGATGTTATTGCTGCACTGGAACGTAAGTACGGTGGCGAACATAAACAAAACATCTACCTTATGGAACTAAGGGGAAAAGTACAGAGGGCAAACGAGACGCTACAAGACTTTGCAGCTGAGGTGGAACGTTTGGTGCTAATGGCGTATCCAGGAGAGAATCACCCATTGCTGGACCGTATGAAAATCGAAACCTTTGTGAATGGCATACGTGACCCTGAGATTAAATGTGCAACATATGCGTCACCAAAAGCGTCGTTTGCCGAAACTGTGTCGTTTGCCCTTGCCCAAGAGACGGCAAGAATGATTGTTAAGCCCCAGACCTACAAGATTAGCCAACTGGAGACCGAATGTTGCGAACACAAATATCTCGTTAACTTGATCAAGGACGCCATGAGGCGGGTAATAGAAGAAACAAAGTTAGTAGGGATGACTAAGCCCAGGGTTAGATGCTACAACTGCGATAAAGCAGGTCATATTGCACGCGAATGCAGAGCTAAGCGCAAACGATCCAGGTCATCGTCACCACCTACAACGAAAGATGGTAGAAGAATGGCTCAACAGTCCACCAATGAGTCACCGTTGAACAGAATCGAGCACAGAGAAGACGGAAAACACGGTAATGCTGATGCCCTGTCTCGTCGGCCATGCAAGGTAGAATACAGCCACTGCTCAAAGGCTGAGAGCAAAGAGAATATCGTGGACGTCCGACGATTGCAGTTTGAGTCGGGAGAAGATTGGTCGACGGAACAACGAAGAGATCCCATTCTGGGCAAAATAATTTCGGCCATAGAAACGGGCAAGCGACCTAGTCGGAAAGAAATTACCTCCGAAAGCCCTCTTTTAAAATCCTATTGGGCCCAGTGGGACAGTCTACTTATAATAGATGGTTGCCTATATCGCAAATGGGAAAGTGAGGACGGTAAATCTCACCGGAACTTGATCGTCGTCCCAGACTCCAAAATAAGAGATGTCTTGTCGGAGTTTCACGATGGGCCAAGTGGAGGACATCTTGGCATAGCAAAAACCGCTGAAAAGGTAAAGCAGAGATTCTACTGGGTCGGCTGTCAAAAATCCATTGCCGACTGGATCGCCAATTGTGAAAGGTGCATAAAAGCTAAAGGTCCAACACGGAAGAGTCGAGGCTACATGCAGCAGTATAATTCAGGAGCCCCTTTTGAAAGAATCGCAATGGATGTAGCTGGACCGTTCCCCACAAGCGACTCTGGGAACCGGTATGTCTTAGTGGTCATGGATTACTTCAGTAAATGGCCGGAGGTTTATGCTATCCCAAATCAAGAAGCCAGGACAATTGTGGATGTGTTCAGCAAAAATTGGATTTGTCGCTATGGTGTTCCATCTGAGGTTCATTCCGATCAAGGTAGGAATTTTGAATCAGCGATCTTCAAGGAAATGTGTGACTCCTACGGAATCAAGAAAACCAGAACGACGCCCCTACATCCACAATCAGATGGCATGGTGGAAAGATTCAATCGCACCCTTGAAGAACATCTACGGAAAGTGGTGGACAGTGGCCAACGAGACTGGGATGAGCATATTCCAAAGTTTTTATTGGCTTATAGATCGGCCATTCATGATTCCACATCCCGGACCCCAGCCAAAGTTCTGTTCGGAAATGAATTAAAGCTACCTGGCGATTTGATATTCGGTGCTACCCCAAACGACGATGTGAACCAAGATGAAGACAGCCAAAACTCTTTTAGTAAAGTCCACGATGCAGTC